TTTTTTTTTTTTTTTTTTTTTTTTTTTTTTTTTTTTTTTTGAGCTCGTTATTTGAACTTGAATATTAAACACTTCGAGCTAGCTGTTGCTATGTATTTAGTTAGAGTATAGATTAAAGATATAGTACTTTTTTTAGGTACATATCACCTATTTAAAATGTAATTACTCATATAATTTAAATCCTATACATATTTCACTTAGGTAATTTACTGCAATTTCAGTTCAACTCAGATCGCCGAACATTTTTACATATTTGTCTGTTTGTTGACTCTGCTCACTGACCAAGAACCAAGCAAACAGCTCCCCTATGGGCAATTGTGGCTTAAAGGGCATGTCAGTTTGATGTTTGTTAACGAGGTCAGAAATAAATAGCACAGTTTTTATACGTGTGGGAGGATAGTTCGTAGTATGCATGTTGCTCATATGATATTTGCTTAAAGAGTACAAGTTGATAAATAATTAAATAAATACAATAAATAACTTATATACTAGTATAAAATATATAGAGTGTGCATTACAGCATTTGCAGCTGGCTGGGCTGCTGCAGGTGCAAAGAGCGCGCGTATCCCCCGTAGCCGTAGCCGCTGCCGCTGCCGCCGACAGCGCCGACGCCGGCAAAGTGGGCGCTGTGCCCATGGCCGTCGTCGTGGCTAACCGAATGCGAATGGCTGGACGTGTACACGGGCTTCGCCACGATCTCGTATGTGGTGGACTTGCCACCGCCGCTGGCCAGGCTCTTCAGGCCGAGGACGCCGCTGAGCGTGAGCGCCATGAGAGCTGTCATCAGCGCCTTGCCGGCCATCATGGCAATGGCTCCCAGCCCGAGAGCCATCAGCATGCCCTTCATCATGACGCCGGCTGCGACGAGCGCCTCCATGCCGCCCTTCTTGCCAAACTTGTGCTTGCGTCCCTCCTCCAGGCTGGTGTCGTCCAGCAGGCGAAGGCGCAGGACGCGCGTCCTCAAGACGTTCTCCAGCTTGGCCAGAATGTAGCCATTGAGACGTGTATTCGGATCGCTGGGATAGCTGCGTGCGACCTCTGCGAATATGCAGCCATTTGTGAATATACAACTTCCCTTTGGATAATTAGGCTGAACTCACCTGCCATCAGCTCGGAGGTTTTCAGCTCTGTGGCATTCTCATCCTTGACCACGCTCACGCCCGGCAGCACATTGAGCTCCTTCTGCTCGGCTAGACGCTCCATAATCTTCACAAATTCTATTTTCAGGCACATCCAGCTGAAGCTGCCCGCCTCGCACTCGCTTAGGCCCACTGCGGGACTCCTTTGGGTTGGCTCTGTGTACTTTGCACTCGGCTCCGTGGGCTGCACGCTCGCCGCCTCTGCATATTTGCAAAGCAAACAGAACCAGGCCAAGTAAAACAGATACTCCAAGGTCTTGAGCAAGAGCATAATTCTGTATTTTTTCCTTTTTGTTTTTTTTTTTTTTGGCTAATATGAGTGTGTGCGAAAGTAAGTCTAGTGATTTGTGAAGCTCTCGAGTGACTGTAGCAACTCATTTTTATGGCCTTGTTTTTATAGGCATTTCCCTTTCACTACGCACAGAGCGCCAAGAAAAGTCATTGCCGCGTTTAGGTTTAGGTTGGCCGCTGTTGCTGTTTTTGAAGCTTTTCTAATTACACCACGATTTGTGGTCGAAATTCTTCCCAGAGCCGTTCAACTGAGTCTGGCCAGCCAAGCAGCGAACCAACTTGGCCACTGGGCGGCACTTTCGCTTTCCTCCTCTCTCTGTGGCACGGCGCTCAGTGTAGCGCAACGGGCGGCCAATATTTGTCACCGACTGCTCCAGTGGGTCCCAGCTTAATGAATTTCCTGAGCCAAAAAGAAAATTCACAAATACCTGCATAATTATGGGACAGATAAAAGTCGCGTGCCTCGTCCGAAGTACATTAATTAATTAATAGCTGGCAACAGACAACTAAACTAACTAGCTAATTGCCCCGCACTGTTGCTAATAACATTTTAATACGGCCACGTCTGGAAGCTGTGCGGGCCAAGCGGTTGAGTCATCGAAGCCGGAGAGTACAAATGGGCATGGATTTTCGCCTGCTTAAGCTAAATACCATGCTTTTGATTGGAATAATAATAAAACTAAAAGAACTTATAATAATAATGAAAATGATAATGCGAATGCTATTGGCAACAGTTGTGTGTTGTGATAATAATGTTAATGAAATTAAAAAAAAAATAAAATAAACTTTAAATAAAAAATAAATATAAATAAAATAAAATAAAAATATAAAAAAAAAAAATAAAATAAAATAAAATAAAAATAATATAAAATAAAATAAATTAAAATAAATAAAATCCAAAGTAATAATGAATAATAATAATAGCACTAATGATAACAATAGTAGTACAAAAAAATTATTAATAAAATTAAAAAATGATATAATAATAATAATGCTAATAATTATTAAAAAAATAAAAAATACATGTATATATTATATTATCAAACAAAATATTAATTATAAAAAAATTAAAAAAAAAATAAAATAAAATAAAAATATAATATAAAATATTTACTGCATGAACAGAAAATAATATTGTTTATAAAATTAATAACTGCATTAAAAATAAATTACTGAGCCAAAAAAAGAGAAAGAAAATTATATTATTTCTTGTACTCATCAGGCTAAATCAAACCAGCCCAGCTCGTCTCTTAATTACATTTTTCTTGCCTGCTCGCATTCATTCTGACTTTGATAATAAATAAAAAGTTCAATAAATTATCTTGAGCTTGGCTTGCATTGAGCTTGCTTGCAGAATTTATGACCCGCCCATGATTAAAGCGCAGTAAATTTGCATTTCATGAATCATATTTATTCAATTGCTATAAATTATTAAAATAAATACTTAGTAAGTAAGCTCTTTAGCAGACATTTAAGTATTTCTTGCTTACATTTCGTTTGCTTTTCATTACTATTATTTTTTTTTGCTTTTTCTTTTTTTTTCTTTTTTGTTTGCTTTGTTTTGCTTTGTGAACCTGAGCTGCATGTCTGCTTGAAGAGCATGTTTGATTGTGCAATAAATATGGCGCAAGCATTTAGTATATGTATTCCGTGTGCGTTATCCTGAGCTAGCGAAGTCGTATTTGATGTTCGGTTGTCATCGTTGATTTATCTCCTCTTCTTTTCTTTTCTACTTTTTCTTTTTTCTTTTCATTTTTTTTTTGTTTTTTGGTTTTTGGTATGTCGCAGCTAACTAACTAAGTTAAACTAAATAATTATTGACTACAACACTACAACAAGTTTAGCCATGTGGGAGGTTTAAGTCTTTAGAGAGGGGAAGGGGTAAGAAAGGGGAAAGGGACAGCGAGGGAAAGGGAGAGCGTATAGAGCGGGAGAAATTAGAATGGAAAGTTCTTGAATGATTTGGTGGATGGGATTGTGGAGCAGCGCTTAGAAGGGCTGAGCCAGACCATAATGGTTGTAGGCCAAATCGGCAGCGCTGGCCTGACCGTTGCGGTTCCAGTCGGAGTGCACGATCTCGGCGTTCAATGGGCTGCCAGTGATGTAGGCAGTGGTGATGTGGTCCTTCTTCTTGGCCAGCAAGTCCTTGAAGAAGGTGGCACCTACACAGAGTGATTCGTCAATGAAACAGCTCACTTGCTACTCTCCGCCAGAAGTCACTTACCAGCCAGAATGAGGGCAAGGAAGGAGATGGCCAGAGCCTTCAGCGAGATGAACTTGATGATGGTGAACATGACCTTGACGATGACCGCCTTCTTCAGCTTCAGGATCAACAGCAGGGGCAGCAGCATCTTCTTCATGCGCTTGCTGCGCGACTCTGTGAGAAGTGGAGAGAAATCGAAAACCATTTCTTGTTTAGCACACAAGTATGCAAAGTCGAGTGGGTAAATTGATAGCTCTTGCTGCAGCTGCAAAGTATGCAACACGAGTTGAACAATAAATCGGCAAACACTTGTGTGCAAGTGGCGTATGCGCAATTTACGACCAAGTAGCCAAGAAGCCAGGCCAAGTAGCCAAGCAGTCAGGCAGTCAGCCAAGGCCCGCAGGCTCAATGCTGTAGCTACATGTGCTTGCAACAAATTGCCTGTCAATTGCACCCGCAACTGAGTTGCCAACAGTTGGAAATTGTTGCAAACAGTTGCCAACTAGAGTGAAAGTTGACGCTCAGTTTTACGAGCGAGTCGTGGAATCGCTTGAGGCAACTCACCCTCCATGGCACGTCCGCTGTATGCATTCTCGGCATTCTCATCCTGCTCGTCGCCGGAGAACGAGAGATTCAGCTCGTGCGTTTCCAGATAGCGTTCGGCACGATCCTCGAACGATTCGAGACCCTTGGCGGAGCCGAAGCTGCGGCCGGTTTCGGTGCGATCGATGCGCAGGCCGCCAAACAATGGGATCGAATCCTCGTTATCCAGCTTATTGAGCAAATTCACTAAGTCCTTTTCGCTGCTGTCCTGCGAGGGCAGAGCCAGAGCGCCGCACACAAAGCTGGCCACGAGCACAACACAAACGAATTTCGCGCACATTTTATTATTGGATGAGTTGCGTTGGGACGGGTAGAGGAGCCGTTAGCCAGTTTTATTGGTTTGATATTTTTGTATAGTCCTTGGCTTTAGCAATGCGTTCAGAGCACACACTGCTGTTGGCTTTGTGATTGGGAGTTGCTTTGTGATTAATTGAATGCAATGGGCCGCAGTTTTATACCTTTTCAATGCGAACGCGTGCCTCCATTGCTCGCCGGGCACAGCGCGGCGCACTTTGTCCAATTTGGTGGCTAGAAATCGACGGGCCAAAACACACACACACACACAACAAAATATAACAGCAACAGCAACATTCACAATTTATGCAAATTTTATGCGTATGCTAGTGCGATGGGGCACAGTCGCAGCCGATGGCCAAAAAATTTCTTGACCATATTTTCACGCACGTCCCACGACCAAACGAAAGGGAAGTCGTCGTCGAGCGGCTTGAATATTATTATTTTATATAAGCAAATGCCCCGATTTCCTTTTGACTGCCATGCGGTTGGAGAGGTGTGGTGGAGGGCTGTGGAGAGGTGAGCTGAGGCAATTGGGTGTCGTCTCACCGTTAGCCGATCGCAATTGGCATGCAACGGCCACGCCCCGGGACGGCAAGGAACGTGACTCCATTTGCTTATGTGCCAGATTCTTTGGAGCTCTCATTAGCCCCACCACCATTCCATTCCATTGAATGGCACTAAAAACGATGATTATTATTAGGGGCCAGCGTACTTGGCCATATTTGGTATGCACCAGCCGGCAGCAGCAGCTCGCTTAATGCGCGCTTTGGCCCCGTTAGAGACGGCGGCAGCGCGACGCTTTCAACGACGCTTTCGATTTCATTCTCTTTGAGTCAAGTCTCGTTTTCTATTTCAATTGCTTCTAAATCTTTGACAAATCTGCGCAAAAGAAAGCTAAATTGTCGCACATGCTCGCATTTGCTCGATCGCATCAGCCGTGTAGAAAGTTGACGGCAATTAATGTGCCCAGGCCCACATGGAAATATTTCAATTATGGGGCGTGGCAAATGCCAAAAATATCCAAACTATACTCTAAGCACAAACATACACATACACATACACATACATACACATAAGTATACGTACATCAATTGGGCATTCGGCCAGCTCTGTGTCGGCGCTCAAGAACTGGCCAAAAACTTTGGTTTTAATAGCCACAAAACAAGTTGTCTAAATGTCGAGCGCATAAATAAAAACATATATGTATATGTATATACATATACAATATAAATAGTTAGCAACCAGTTGTAAGTGCCTTGGGAAAGTGTTGCCACAGTTTTGGTTTTGGCCACAGTTAAAAGGGTCAGACGCTCTGAAAGTTAAGGCCAAGTTTAAAGTATTTATCGATTTTATTAACATGACTCTTTAGCTGGTGTCTTGTACAATGTAAAGTGTTTCTTCTTCTTCTTCTTATTCTCTTTCTTTTTTGCAATGTTGTGTTATACAATAATAAATTAGGCAATTAAATACGCGTCAGCTTCACGTCTCGAATAAATTACTACGAGCTAGATTTTCAATTAAAGGAAAAGGCACATTTCTGGCTACTGGCCGAAGTGAAACGAGGTCCGCTTACTGCTGCTGCTGCTCGGGCTGCTGGCCGGCGTAGGCCAACTCCTGGGCATTGTCGACACTGATGCTGCGCGCATAGGGATAGGCGGAGGAGGCGCCCGAGCTCCAGCCAGCGGTGGCTGGGGCGGACCAGGCGTTCGAGCTGTAGCCACCGATGGCGCTGCCGCCGAACTTGTTGCCAAAGCCGCTCAGCAGGCGGGAGCCGCCGACCAGGATGGCCAAGAAGAAGGCGATCTTGGCCACGACGACGGCCTTGAAGGTCAACAGGGCGAGGAAGCCGAGCACCAAGGGAATCACAGCGAACAGCTTGGCGCCAATGGCCAGGGCAATGGGGCCAATCATCTTCTTGATCTTGCCGCGACCTGTAAATGGAGCGCAACACGGAGAGCAGAGAGTCGCAACAGTGTTAGCCAAAAGTGGATCAGAGATTATGTTTCGATTGAAGTGCTATGTACCTTCATCCAGGGCGCGTGCCACCTGCTGGGTGGTCTCTGCGGGCAGCTTGAACTCCAAGTTGTGGGTGCTCAGGAAGTCGGTGGCACTGGATATGGCCAGATCGACCAGGCGGCCGTTGCGCTCATCGCCATTCTGTGGCAGCTCAGCATAGATGTCCTGCTCGCTGAGGGACTTGCCGCTGCGCTGCACGGGGCTGGCGGGATCTCTGCAACGGGCATGAAGAAAACACACTTAGAACACTCTGAACTCTGAACTCTGTGGCAATGCACGCGACAATTTGTTCGCAACATTTCACTTTCACACACACCTCTGGAAGGTGACGCCATTGATTAGCTCAATGTTGTTGCTCCTGGCGGCGCGATTCAGTGCGGTAATGCCCTTGACGGCCAGACAGGTGGTCATGTCATCGCTCTCGAGGCAGGCGCCCAGATAGCGGGCGGCACGTCCGAGCGTGTTATCACTTTCGACGCGGTTATCTTGCACACTGGGCGCGGCCCAGGCGCTGCTGGCCGCCAAAACGAGGCACACACAGGCAATGGAAAACACTTTCATTTTCGTTTTGGTTTTAGTTCGAGAACTTTTGCTGACACGCGACGCGATTTAATCCTTGGCAGTAGTTGACTGGAAGCTGTTGCTGCTGCTGCTGCTGTTGCTACTGAGGTCGAGATGAATTTGATGAAGTTGGAAGACGTCTAGCCTTATATATTCCCGCAACTTTTGTGACAGCTGCGCAGCCGGCGTCGAAGTTGACGTTACAAAACAATTTTTAAGTAAATTAAGTAAAAGACGCAGCCGCGGCGCAGTCGCAGCAGCAGCAGCGGCAGCGACTGCGGAAGCAACCAAACATTGTGAAAAAAAGTGACGCGAAAATAAAGGCACTGAGCACATGCATAAATCTAGGGAACAGCAACAGCAACAGCGGGCCCAAACGGGCCAAACAACAACATCAAAAAAATAACAAAAAAGAGAAAAAAAGAAAAGAAGACAACGGAAAAATAAAGTCAACTTGTTTGTTAAGTGAATATGTTCATTTCTTCTTCTTCTGCTGCTGCTGCCGCTGCCGCTGCTGCTGCTCGCGCGCTGACTGACTTTTTTTGGCAGCGTCAACGTCGACGTCAACGTTGACGTCGTCATCCGTCAAACACAAACTTGACGTCAAGCTGCGCTGCAGCGCTGCCCGAGAGAAACTTGCGCTTGGCTAGGGCGAGAGCGCGCGCAAGAGCGAAAGAGAGAGGGCGAGAGGAGAGTGCGTAGAGATCGAATAAGAGCGGCCGGCAGAGTGCAAACAATTGGCATCATTGGCTGAGCCCATGGGCAGCGGTAATTATGGCAGCGTCCGCTTTCACACACACACACAGACACACACACACAAACACACACACAGCTATACACGTGTGTGTGCTACTTTATTGATCCGGTTGCCGCATATTTTGAGCCTGGCATTTAGCCGTCTTCATAAATGGGTCAACTCTTGTTTGCCCTTTGAGCCACGGCGCTATATCGTTTAGCACCTCTTACTATCGACATAATCATCAATTTGATCAAGAATTGAGAAACGTCGAGGCCTCCAAATATTTGCAATTGGAATTGTGCAATAACTGATTATGATAAGCAACTGATTATAGCCAAGAAATGTAAAGCATTAATTTGGAAATGATTGACAAGAGGAGCTACATTTGCTTATGTATCATATCTCTGTTATATATTTTGATTATCTTCATTATATGTAAAATCATCTACTGCTCTATATGATCTTCATTGAATATATTCTCTATATATCCATGGTTATAAGTGGAATATCTAATAATATTTCTAAAATATCCAGCCAGTGTTATAAAGTGTATTTCATTTATAAGTCTATATTTAATATGGATTTCATTGCCATTCATATCAGCACAAGTGTTCCATCATAGCTTTGCCAACACATTCTTAGCAATTCATTCACATTTGGCAACACTGTCAATAAGTTATAGCCAACAGTCCCAAACAGTCCAAGCCACTTATTCCCACTTATCCACACTCTTACGTACTTATTAGCGCTTGTCGACACTCCACATGGATTTGACAGCTTTTGAAGCTAATCTAAATGAAACTCAAACTTTTGAGCAATATTGATAAGCCTAATTCATGTGATACAATCAATTAGCATATGCTAAAGTCGAAAATCGTATTTCTTAAGTTTTTCGCATATTTAATTGATATGTGCTCAAACACGTTTATAACTGATTCATCGTCCGTTTTGTTTTTGTTTCTGTTTTTTTATTCTGCCTGCCTCTGTCACGTTTTTTGAGCTCTCACGCATTGCGGCATTCCGACATTTCTCCGGCGTAGAGCTACATGAGATCTCATACAAAGAATGCCGCCAATAAAAAATCGAAATAACACAGTTTGTATTTTACTTTTCATTTTTAAAGCATTTAAAGCAGCAGCTTATTGAAGCCAAAACTATTCACAAGCCAAAATCCATAAAATAATAATCATAAAAACAAAACAAAACAACAAAAAAAAGTCAAGCAGGAGAAAAACAAAAGTCTCAATTTACTCACTTTCATTTATATTACAACGATATGCGACACTAAATGCTGTGTGAGTATGTTGTTGTTGTTGTTGTTGCTTTTGGTTTCTGCTCTGTGAATTTGGCTGACGCCTACGGGCGTCGTCTTGTCACACGCTGCGTATGAGTGACGCGCCTTTATTTTCGGTTATTGTTTTAGCTGCCCAAAATCGAACAACAGCAGCGGCAACAATAACAACCACACTGCGGCGCAAAAAAAGAAAGTGCGTTAGGCATACCCCACATACATACCCTATATACACGCACAGCACATGGCTTGCCCATGATTCACCTGCTGCGCTCATTTGCATAGAGCTGTTCGCCTGCAGCTTGCGGCATGTCAAATATTTCTCAGCCGTTGCCACACACCGCTTCTCGCACTGCTCGCAACGCGCATTCATTGATGATAACTCACCTTGCCAATGTGTCCACTGCCCCCTCTCACGCCCTCACCAACCAAGTGTTTAGCTCTGATCATCTTTCGCTTAACCTGCGGTCCAGTTTCGCATTTCATTCATTGGCGTCGCTAAGCGTGAGTGAAAGTTATGTAATTTTCGGTGAATTTTGCAATTTGCAGCGAACAGCAGAAAAACCTGATTTCGCCGGCTCCTGCATCAGCAACAGCAGCAACAACAATAACAACAATAACAACAACTGCCAACATAGCAACAACAATTAAATTTGTGCTCTGTTTCGATTGTCCGGCTAAATGTCAAATCAAATGAAATTTCTAAATGCCAATCATATAGAAATTTCTCTTTTTTACCAAGCTCAGCTGTCAGCCAACCCTTTTGCACTCACTGCTGCCGTCTCGCTCTCGCAAATAATGCGTTTTTGACAGCCTTACAAAGGCCTTTAACGCGCCAAATCAGTCCCAGATATAACTATCTATATATATGTACATATGTGTATGAAAATATATTTGTACAAAACTCATAAGCTTCAATTTGTTGACTGGCATCGCCCAATTAGCCGCAACAAGTGGCCAAAAGAAAAAATGAAGCAAAAACAAATTGGCCCGCATACTTTCGTTGTGGGTGTGGTCAGCACAACATGTGAGTCGTACTTGATATACCCTGTAATGCGCACACATTTTATTTTTAAGGCAGGCTTGACTCGCAGGCGAAGATGTCATGACTGAAGGTCGACTATAAATTATTTAATTAATATAATATTACTTAATATATTACAGAAGAACGAAAAGAAAAATAAATGATATAGTGGATTGGTAGTTCGAATTTTTTACTTTATTTTTTACGTACTTATATATGATTAATTAATTTTTATTTGCTAATTTTACCTACAAATATCAAATAATTATATTTTTGATTTTCAGCTAATAACGTGAAATTTATCATTCGACATTGCCAGCTCATGATTCATTGTTCCAGGGTATCTGCCCAGCTATCCGTTACTTTCAAGTCGCAGTCATCTTTTTGTTGTTGCCAAGTTGACTTTTGAAATTAGCCAGACATATTTCGCAGCTCAAGTTGGCAATGCCAATCGCTGTGAGCGAGGCATTCAGCGTGCGTTCTATTGACCCAATTGCGTGTTTGCAATGCATATATAATGAATACATATCCATTTGCCCGACCGACAAGTATACATAGGAACAGTTATGTAAATGCAGGTGTTCCTCGAGGAACTTATTCGAGATTATTATGATCAAATAAAAGAGTATATATAAGATACATATTCCAGCCTGTTATAAATTAGATGAAAGTGATATAAAATAAGAATATTTTTTTCACATACTGCAACACATTCTCTTCATTCTTTGTTTACTATCATCATATTTTATAAATAAATATGTTCCATAAATTCAGTAAACATTTATTGAACAACTTCAGCATTTTTCTGTCAATAAATCATGAATGAGGCCCATTACATTTGTGTTTCCTTTACGTGTTCTTGGGGCCGCTCAAGTTAAATGTTTACCTTCTTTTTTTTTTAGAAATATTGAGCTACGCCAGAAAAAAGAGCTTCTACTCTGTTAGGTTAAAGGTGTTGCTCGCCTTCGACTGTGCACGAAGCGAAATAAAGCTAAAAGTCGCAAGTAGAAAAAAAAAGTAGAAAAAGAAAAACAAAATACAAAAATGTGTTTTGCTACGTTTTTGGGTTAAACGCGTAAATACCGAGAGGTGAAATTGATTTTCTTTTCATTTGCGCAAATATGAATTGTCAATATTGTGCGTAGACGTTGTCTTGGTCGTCGTCGTCATCGGCGTCGTCTGAGAAAGTGCAGCGTTATCTTCTTGCATGGGCCAGACCTTTTATTTTAGGGCTTGGGCCTGCTGCTTGGCTGTTGAAATATTCATGGACTGGCTGACGAATTCAATTCACTTTGTGGTTAAATGTTGGCCTAGCAATTGGCTTGAAACACTGGGAACATCGCCTCCCAGTGGGAGTGCATGCGCTTTCACAGGGCCCTGGACTGAGCCGCGTTAAGGGCCGGACAATGGCAGCGCGTTGTTTGCCTTAACCCATTTGCCCAAGTCCCAAAGAAAGTGAAATTGATGACACAAATGTTCAAACAACAAACACTTCAACTTGAAGCTAAAGCTGCGGCTGTTGCGGCTGCTGTTGCTGTTGTTGTTGCTGGTGTATCTATGCTAAATGGTCTGGTTAAGTAATCCCGTGAGAGTCGCAAACATTGCGCACTCATCGAAGCGTCCAGCGCCGACTGCGCCGAGAATATTTTCAGCCCCACAGACCGAGATGCGACTGAAGCGATAAAATTCACGACGACGATGACAACACCCGCCTGCAGCTCGAGTATTGCCTCTTAGAGAGGGTCTTCTGATTAGGGCAGGCAATTGGTAACAAATAAAATAAAATAAAATAAAATAAAATAAAATGAAATAAAATAAAATAAAATAAAATAAAATAAAATAAAATAAAATAAAATAAAATAAATTAAAATAAAATAAAATAAAATAAAATAATATACAATAAATTAAAATAAAATAAAATGAAATAAAATAAAAAATATATATATAAAAAAAAAAATAAAAATAAAAATAAAATAAAATTTAAATTTAATTAAAAAATTAAAATTTAGTTATCTTCGAAAAATATATACGTATATAATTTCAAAAATAAAAGTATTAAAATAATGGAAGTAAAGTTCTAAAACTCTAGAGTACCATCACAGCCAAAAATGAGCATTTCAAGTGAAGCACAAGTTTTCCCACTTCTAGTAGCCGCCCTCTACAGGGTATCTGCCAGTCGCTATCACAGTCGTCTGCCGCACTTTTACCTGTTTATTTTCTGAAGCTAGAAATAAGAGAGGCGCCGCCTTGTTGATCGATTCGTTAGATACGCGGGCAGCATGCGACTTTGGTGTTGGCGTTAAACTGCCTGCAATTGTGTGTTGGCTTGTATGTGCGCGTGTGTGTGTGTATGTGTGTGCTGGTGTGTATGTTGTCTTTTTTTTACCATAAACTGCGCGCCCTACAACTTTCACTTGTGTGTCGCAAGAGCCAAGCATACATAGGTATGGCCACAGTCCATGACTCGTGGCGGCATTCTCACTCGACTGTTGGATAACTTTCAGTTCTTCTTTCTGACAGGGCTTACGTAAAGTAATTAGCCGAGTGAGTGAAAACTCTGGTGACGACCCTCGCTGGCGGAGCCACCCAAGTGGTTGACTGCAGCTGCTGCATGCTGATTGATTTGTGACGACCTGTTTATTGACTTTGTTTGGGCTTTTACATAAGCCCTTTGTGTGCGCTTTTTTTTTTCTTACCTGTTTACCACTTGTATTGCAACACGCATTTGCGGAAGTTCGTCTTGGCCAAGTCGTCTTGGCCGTCGCGCATGCGCAATAAACCGTTTTTTCGTTTTATGCATAACGGCTCTGTGCACGCATTGACGCATTGCCGCATCGCCGCATTGTTCGGCCAGACTGCGGGGTCCACGTAACAGCATTTGGACGCGTGCTAATTAACTGTGAATGGAAGTCAGGCGCAGGTGAAGAGTTATGCGGCTTTATTACCATTGGCCTATTGGCTAAGACTAACACAGAGAGTAACGCTAAAACATATCTAGTCTCTATAGGAAGGGCTTATTATCGTAACGAAACGAGTCCTTGGCCACGCCCAGCGGTATGTAGTGCTGTCTAAGTGGTATCCAGCTGCTGCCGCTCGAGGATAGATCGCCATGGTAGCTCTTGATTGTTGGCGCCGAGGCGTGCACAATCTCCAGACGTTCGTGCGTTGGACTCATCATGGACTTCAAGGCCAGCAGACCGGCGGCGGCCAGCGCTATTTTGCCCATGACAAATGATGAGGCCGAGAGCGCCGTTAGCCATTTCAAGATCAAGGGCAGCAATATAAACTTGGCCAGCACCGCCGCGCTCACCAGCGGAAAGAGCATCTTCATCAGCTTCTTCTGTTTGTGATGCTTGCCGCGAGCTAACCGAAACGAAAATGTTAATTATGAGCGAAAGCGCAGATGCGCAGAGATGCGGACGAGTGCTGCACCTCCAGCTGCCTACCTTCGGCTGACCAATTGCCCAGCAACTGGCTCAACTGCTGGCCGCTCAGCTCGCCGCTGAGCACTCGCTCCAGCTGCTGCTCTGCTGACTGCAGCCAGCGCTGCTCCGTGACTGTGGCTGCTGCTGCCAACTCCTCTTCCTGCTGCTCCGCATCCTGTTCGACAGCAGCGACAATTGCACCACCCAGCTGCACCGCCGGCGGCAGCCCGTGCGCCCATCCCACAGCCAGCAGACAGGATACGAACAGTAAAACTTTAGACATTCCGCTTATAGTTCTATGCAGCAGCGCTCTGCTCGGGCAACTAAGCTAAGCTAACTAACTAAGTTAAAGGCTAGTGCGCCCGCATAGTGCAGCTCGTTGCACTCGAATGCACTCGCAGGGGCTGCTGTTCTGGCCAAGTGGCTAATAGCTGGATGGTTGCTGCTTAGCTGTTTTGTTCTCCTATGTGCGCAGCTGAGCGGGGTATATTGACTTTTGAGTGCAGCTTGTGAGGAGGAATAGTCGAAGTTCGAGCTGCAGATTTCCTCGCAACAGAATGAAACTCTTTATAAAGAATTAAAATACAAGTACAGTAGAATCCGATATCCGGAAGACGCTATAGTCATATAAGTTTACTCACATAAGTTTGTTTGGGGAGCAGAAGCTGAGACGTTATAATCGACCTCTATTGTAATATTCAAAATTCTACCTCTGATTATGTTTTTGATTTTGTATGCACAACAGACTCTCTAATACTCATATTATATAACAAACACCTTCCGAGCCCTTTCGCTTCAAAGAGTATTCCAGCTTCGTCGTCTTGCCATATTTGATTTTCCTTTTGAATAATTTTCTTTTGCTTTCTGTTGTTCTGGTTTTCGATTCGGTTTTACTTAAGCGTGAACGAACACACATTAAGTTTTCCCTACTTTAATAAACGGTTTCATCGTTCGCTCATGTTGTTGTTATTGTTGCCTCTGCTGTGGCTGTGGCTCAGCCATCAACAAGTAAAACTCTTTATTAACGCTGGCTATCATTTTGCTTGGCGCGTTGCGGTTCACTTGCCATTTTAGCTGAACAGCACACGAACAGCATTTTTCCATTTCTAAATCGCAGTGAAATGCCACCTACAGACACGCCCCGTGCAGCTACTCCTCGCCCTTCTCTGCTCTTCCTCTCTTTCTTCCCCTTTCACTCAAGGGTCGCCGCGTATTTAAGGTCCGAGTAAACATGTTTTATTTTTTTTTTCAAATTCATAATATAATGAAATGTGTAATAAACAAGAGATGCAAAAACAAAAACAAACTTCATTTGCAGTTGTAAAATGTTGTTGACTTCCATAAATGAAATATTTAGCAACAATTTACGCGCGCATCGCAAATACAATGGGAAAAACGTAATTAAAGCGGAGTTTCGACCAATTAGCAGACAGAAAAAAACATTACAAATACGCGCTTATATGAGATATATTGCTATGAACGAACTGCATTTTAATTGGCTTAATTAATCTACATTTTGCATTAAACATCAAATTTAAGTTCACAAATAAAACAAAGTTTGTTGACAACATTTCGTTGGCAAACGGAACTAAATGTTGTTCAACTTTGGCTGTCGAAATGCTACTGTGTGAGTGTGTGTGTGTGTGTGAGGGGTGTCATGTTGCCTGCTAACGGTTGTTTTCAGGCCCGCAACACGCATACTAAATTGCGGCCCAACTAATGCCAAATGCCAAACGCCAAACGCCTCGCTGTCGTCACATATCATGACCAGACTTTGGCAATGCGCTGGGCTTTTAGCGTCACTTGAGTGTTAATGCGATTTTCAGGCATCCGGTTGGTGTTGTCGTTGTTGTTGTAGCTGTCAAAAACACCCTAACAAAGTTGGGTTATGACTCAATTGATTGTCACTACAATTATTTGAATTATCTATAATCTATATTAAGTGGAAAAATTACATTAAAAATTGTTGGTAAGTAAATAAAAATTATGAAAATTTTTGAGAGCTAAATCAAATTATATTAGAAAATAATATACACAAAAATTCAGAAAAATAAATACAAAGTCAATAAATATTAAATTTCCTAAATCAATTTATTGTGTTCTTAATTAATAAATGCAATTGACAAATGCAAAACATTTCAATAGAAAGTTTTAAAAGAGGAGAAATTAAAATACAATTTTCTATGAGCAGAAATATATCTAGTAAATGGAACTTTAAAATTGATAATAATTATTTAAAATATTACGATTACAGCTGACAACAATATTTTGTGTTTGTGACAGGTTTTAAAATTAAAATAAATATTAAATTACTTAAACAACAATTCGAACTCAAAAAGCAGCCATACGCCGGGTCTGATTTTAAGCTAGCGGCGACTGTGTATACCCTAACCAGATACTAAGTTTGAGCTTAGGTGAGCGTATACAAATTTCGCATAGCCGATAAAGTTGTCTCATCAAAAGCCCAGCTAATAAATTACTTAATTCGACAGTCGACAGTCGACAGTCGACGTTCGGCATTTTATCAATTTAATCAATTTAATCTACCGTCGTTAGCTATTGAGCTCGCCTCCCATTAAGTGGAGCTCTAGTTTTGAAGCGTAAACCTAAATCCGAAATCAATCAGCCGCCGCTGAACTCAAATTTTCTTCAAGACAATCGCTTTGCTGGAATGGCCAACACCTGCCGACGACTTGAGGCTCATCACGGCCGTGAACAGGGCGAAGAAGAAGCCAGCCAGGCCCGTGGTGCCCACCAGCAGCGTCAGCCCTCCAATCAGCACCGGTATCAGGGTCAGAAACTTTAACTTGTACGCAATGAGCAGCGGCAGCAGTAGTTTCTGAATTTTCTTCTTCAGCTTCTTCAGCTTGCGGCCCTGAATGCTGCCAGTCAGCTGGCTGCCACGGCCTTGAATTTCCTTTGATGTTGTTGTAGCTGTTTCTAGCTGTTCTTCCTCTTCCCCTTCCTCTTCTGTTGCTGCGTCTATGCTGCGACCAACCAATTTAGTTGACAGGATATCTGCAAGGAGAGGCAGCTCGAGCTTTTAGTTAATTAAGTGACTAGACCTTTGAGCGTCCAGGCGCAACAACAGAGTCATGGACACCGTTCATCAGCAACCAAAAAAAAAAAACAAGTAAGAAAGCTCTAGTCGAGACTGCTCGACTACGAGATC